TGACCAAAATAAATGAGAAATATCTTCCTTCACACAATTACAAAATGTACAGTTAACATCAATGTCCTTTTTATAACGTACGAGAAAAGAACAACAATACGTCGTTCAAGTGGAACAGCGAAGCGCAAGTACGAAAGCCATGGGGGTTGTCACATGATTCAGAAGGCATTCTGGGCTCAGCCAATCAGAGCCAGCGGATTTCATTACGCGGGCATTTTGCCGTAACACGGGCAGAAATATTGCCGTTAAGCGCCTTCGTAGCGTGAATTTTTCGTTAAATGGGGTATTCGTAAGTCGGGGTTCCACTGTATATGTATTTGTAATTATGTAGCAAAGAACTGAACAAATCTGAATTGAGAAGTTATAGGTGACTGAGTTGATCAAACAGACAATCGGTCTTAAAGGTGCACCCTGTTTATGCATCTGCTGTAAATCATACATATTTGGTGTAGTTTCCCCTGGGTACAGCCTGTGGTATGAGGTGCGGTCAACAGCCTTGTCTTGTTCTAACTGCTTCAGACAATCTCTTACCCTCATCCTGTAACCACTACCTGGGCCTCTTTTTAGGGGCTCATAAGTATTTTTGTCACTTAGCAGTGACAAAGTTTTCTTATCATAGTCATGCACCAACTTTTGTCTGCCAGAAGGATGAGAATGTTGTTGTCATTACTAAGTGATGTGACTGCCTTCCTCTCCGTCATACTCATGTTGGATGCTCAGAGACAGGCCGACATCCTCGGGGTGGCATCCTGGTCTCTTCTGGCCGCTGATGACACTCTCTGTGTTTTGCTGGTGTTTCTGTCACACAACAAGTAGGCCAAACTTCTGTTGACAAGTGTTTTCATGTGTTTTAAGTACCTAGCCATGCACTTTACGTTTACAAACATTTGTGAAAGAAATGGTTCTTCTAAAGAGCTGTCATTGCATACCACCACTGCAACAAGTCAGTTCCTGGAGTTTCTTCCCTCTTAGATATATCCAGGATTAACTGTAAGTTGTGTAATTGCAGAGTGGAAGCATTTAGCAACCACAGCAACTCAGCAATAAAGTGGCAGACTACATATAGTTGCCGAGCAGGGTTGCTTATTGCTGAGGCACACGATACTTCATAGCCTCCAGTTACTCGATTGACTGAAGAGTTCAAATTCTCCTCTGGTGTTAATATCAGAGCAAACGTGTACACCTGGAGCATCATTGCCAAAACATTCCTGTAGGCGGGCCATTAGTTACCCAGTGCTTTTGTGTATTAGAGGTGGGAATCACCA